TGGAAATTGTTAAAATTAAATGGAATGCTTTTCAACTAGAGGGCTTCATTTATGCTAATTTCTAGCTATGCATATTTCACATTCTTATAGCTAGATTTATAATTATCTATGACTATTGCAAGGGTGATGAATTAGCTTTTCAATAATATTTCAAATATTTGTAACTTAAAATTCTAGATATTAAAATAATTTAAAATACTGTTTACTAGAAAAAATGAAGACTAAAGAATATTTAAAATAAATAATAAAAAGAAATTGAGAAATTATTGCCTTGATCCATTATTTTATACCCAAAATTACTTTAACAGACACAGAAATGGATACACAGAACATGAAATTGTATTATTTTTCATATTTCCAAGTCTACACGTGTATGTATCCTTCCAAATAAATTGTTGTTATGTGCCATTGGAACTTTTAGCTTGGCACCATTGGATCCTGGACGGTAGTTTTGATTTACTGCCTTTGATTTAATTTACAATCAGCTGTGGGTGGAAAGCCTCTTGTGTAGGCAAACAGGATCTGGTGGGTGGGCCTTTGCATTTAAAAGTTGGTTGGTATTAATCGTGTTTGGAAGTGGTGCAGCATATGTTTGTCATTTTGCTGTATAGGATTACTTGAGGTTGCTGTCATACTGAAATCTGTACGACGGGTATGTCAAATTCCAAAAGGATTTCTCATTGTGGACAGGTTTTGGTGGAGCTCCGATTAAAGTAGACTAGGAAGCAAGATGGGTCATCTATGTGCTAAATAAAAGGCTTTTGAAAGACCTATGAACACTAAACAAAGAGGATAATTATTGTAGTGTAGTGGTAGAGCCCAGATTGGAAGTCAGTTGAAATGAAAAAAAAAAATAATTAGTAACAAACATCGTTTAACAGTTGGAACATAGAATGTACATAGCTTGAATGTTGGACATGTTGCTAGAAGGTGCTATTCCTTGGAGAACGACATGATGTTGGGAAGGGAGAAAGGTCGGCAAAGGAAAGGAAGACCCTCAACCAGGTTGACTGATGCAGTGACTGCTGCAGTGGGCTCCTGTGTGTCAGGAAGTGTGAGGATGGTGCAGCATAGAACAGGGTTCAAATCTTTTGTTCATAGGAACACTATGAATCGTGCTCGACTCAACGGCACCTAACAACAACATAACAACAATATGTTACTGAGTAGAAACTAACTTATAGCTGACCCTCTAGCACATTTTTAAAGGTGGAAAATTGCATGGGAGGATATTATTAATTCCCCCATCCCCAGAATAGCTGATGGATCCAAACTGCATGCCCTTTGATCAACAGCACAGCATCTTATCCATTAGACACCCAGAGCTCAAATAAGTTAGCTCAACTAGTTGTTGTTGTTATGTGCCGTCGAGTCGTCTGCGACTCATAGCGACCCTATGCACAACAGCCCTAAACCCTGCTCTATCCTGCGCCAACCGCACGGCCTCTGACACACCCATCCCGATTACCCCAGTCACCGAATCAATCCATCTCATAGAGGGTCTTCCCCTCCTGCGCTGTCCCTCAACCCTCCCAAGCATGATGTCCCTCTCCAAGGACCCGTCCCTCCTGGCAACATGTCCAAAGTATGTCAGACGAAGCCCCAGAATCCTTGCCTCCAAGGAGTAGCTTGGTTTAATCCTCTCCAAGATGAATCTGTTTGTTTTACTGGCAGTCCATGGTACATTCAGCACTCTTCTCCAGCACCAGAGCTCAAAGGCATCAACTCTCCTTCTGTCCTCCCTAGTCATTGTCCAACTCTCTGGTGCATAACAAGCGATTGCAAAGACCATGGCCTGTATGAGGCACACCTTAGTCTCTAGAGAGACACCGTTGCTCCTGAGTACTTTAGAGAGGTCTCTAACAGCAGACTTTCCCATTGCGATACGCTTTTTGATTTCCTGACTGCTGGTGAGAGTGTTGACTGTGGAGCCGAGCAAACTGAAGCTGTGAACAATCTCAATCTCTTCGCCATCCATCCTGACGCTGCCAATTGGTCCAGTGGTGAGAATCTTTGTCTTCTTGACATTGAGCCTCAGTCCATACTGAAGGCTGCAGTCCTTGATCCTCCGCAGCAAGTGCATGAGGTCCTCCTCAGTTTCACCAAGCAGGGTTGTGTCATCTGCATAACGTAGATTGTTAATAGATCTTCCATCAATCCTGATGCCACAATTCTCGTCATAGAGCCTAGCCTCTCGGATAATCTGCTCTGCATACATGTTGAAAAGGTATGGAGAAAAGGTGCATCCCTGGCGTACACCTTTCCCAATTTTGAACCATGCAGTGTTACCCTGCTCTGTTCTGAAAAGAAGGGGGGAAAATAATCAAAACCAAACAGAAGACAAATTCCATCTCACATACTTTGAGCATGTTGCCATGAGGGACTTGTCGTTGGAGAAAGACGTCATGCTTGGGACGCCATGCTTGGGAAGGACAGCACAGGAGAGGAAGAAATGGATTAACACAGTAACTGGGTTAATGAGAGTAGGTGTGTTGGAGACAGTGAGAATGGCTCAGGATAGGTTAGGGTTAAAAGTTATTGTGCATAGGATCTGTATAAATCATAGTGGACTTAATGACACATAACAACTACAACTACTTCAAGCACACACTAATATATTAAACATTCCTCAATTCCTCTATGAATTAGGTCCAGATTATTGTCCTCACTTCAATGATGAGGACATACGATACAAAAGAATCGAGCAACAGAGCTAAGAATTAAGGCAGAAGTGACCTGGGTTTGAATGATACAATCACTTTCTTTTCCACAATTATAAACGTTTTTCAATATATTTTCTCATGGTGTGAAACCCAATAACACACCAAAGCAGATGTTAGATAAGTTACAAAACTTACCACATAAATGCCAAAGTGGCATATCCAATATGGTCATTATTGTCATAGTCATAACTTTTGCCAAGACACCAGTTGGTGCTACACAAATACCACAGAAGCCCACAGACTTTAGTCCTCAATTCGTAAGGAAACAGCATTCATTCTTATCCCTACTGATAATTTGAGATCTAGATTCACTGGGTTTTTTAAGTTCGTGTGATATCAACTAGAAGTCACTTGGCAAATAATGAACTTTTAAATTTTCTGTGCTTTCATCAACAGTAGTAGATCAGAGTATAATAATCGTGATTTTTTTAGCATAAAACAAAATTGAAAGATTTCTAGAATTACAGGTTAGGGAAGCTGTAATTTTTTTTAGAGCTCTAGATTCAACTCAATTTTCTAGATAGAATTTAAATGATATTTGAAAACAATATTAAATCATGTCCTCATCTTGTATGAATGTGACACATTTTTGTTCTTGCTAGGTGCCATCAAAATAAATACTATGTATGCATAGTGACCCTATGAACAACAGATCCAAACCCTGTCCTATCCTGTGCCATCTTCACAATCTCTGACATACTTGAGCCCATTGCTGCAGTCACTGTGTCAATCCATATAATTGATGGACATTTTTCCTTCCACTGGCTCTCCATCTTCTTTGGATGCGTTTTCTCTAAGACATGTTTGTTCTTTTGGCAGCACATGGCATATTCAGTACTTTCCTTCAACACCAAAACTCAAAGGCATCAATTCTTCTGTCATCCTTATTCATTGTCCAGTTCTCAGGTGCTGAAAAAAACACATTTTGAATCAAGGACACCTTGGTCTTTAAACTGACATCTGTGCTCTTAATGATGTGGGAGAGATCCCAGCCAGAAGAAGACTTTCCCAATGCAATACAAACGTGTCCTGATCTCCTGACTGCTGGTACCAAGTGTGTTGATTGTGGATGCAAATAAAATAGTTGACAATTTCAATCTTTTCTCCATCTAACAGGATGTTGTTTACTGTTCGAGTAGTGAGGATTTTTGTTTTCTTGATGTTGAAATGCAATCCATGTTGAAGGCTGTAGTTCTTGATTCTCTGCAGTAAGCGCTCTGCAAGCAAGGTTATGTCATCTGCAGGTTGTTAGTGAGTCTTCCTCCAATCCTTCATAAAGTCTTCTTCATAAAGTCAAGTTTCTTGAATGATGTGCTCAGCATACATATGGAATAGATGGAGAAAGGATACAGCCTTGACACATATCTTTCTTGATTTTAAATCATGCAGTTTCCCCTTGTTCTGTTCAGACAGCAGCTTTTTTTGGTATAGGTATAGTTTTTGAGTGATCACAACTAAGCGTTCTGGAAACCTCATTCTTCTCAATGCTATCCATAGCTTGTGATCCACAGTAAAATGTCCTTGTATAGTCAATAAAACACAAATAGACGTTCTTCCAGTATTCTTTACTGTCAGACAAAATCCATCTGTCACCAGCAATGATGCCATGGCCTCTTCTAAACCCAGCTTGAACTTCAGTAAGTTCTCTGTCAGTGTACCATTCTAGCCATTAATTTCTGCATTCTATTGGATCTTCATTCTTGGGGGGGTGGGAACATATACACTCTCTTCCAGTCAGCTGCCCAGGCAGCGGTCTTCCAACTTCCCTGGCATAGACTGATGAGCATGCCCAGGTTTGTATCTGTTATTTGAAACATGTCAGTTTGTATCGAATCAATTCCTAGGGCCTTCAATTTGAACTTGCACCTGAGTAATTAATGGTATGTCCCATAGTAGGCACCTGGCTTGGATATGAGTCACATTCTCAGGTTACCATCATTAAAGAAAAAAAAAAGAAGATAGCTCAGAATCAGGAAAGAATAATTTGGGGGCAAGATAAAGGTAATGAAGTGAATGTGTATGTGTTTGTATCCTTCAATTGTTTTACTCATGTAATCCATGAACAGGTATTTACAAAACGAACTCCGTATCTGTGGAAAATTTCCCAAGAGTTGACTGTTTTAAGGTGTCAAAGTAATTTGACAACTGTGCCAAAAATTTTTTTAAAAGCAATAATTTATAGGCATGATGATGTTGATATCTACCGGTGAGTCAGTATCAATTTACAGGTGACCCTCCAGTGGGTTTTCAGAAGTGGTAAATCACATGAGAAGAGACTGTCCCTTCTTTCTCCCTCAGAGCAACCGGTGGATTTGAACCATATAGCTTTGGTTTGGCAGTACAACTCTTTACCACTAAGCCACCAGAGCTCTCTAACTTATAGGCACAAGATAATATAATTTAAATGAATTTGAGCATCTTATTATCAAATCAGCAAAAAGTATTCTCATTATGTAAAACCATTCCATTTAATCATGTGTTTACAATCCTTATATCCTTTTAAGGTTCTAATTTGATAGTACACAACAACAACAAGTAAAAAAAATTCCAATGAAATAAAATTTTGAGTCTTTAGGTGCAATTAGTAAATTTTCACTTAAGTGGCCATTTATTTTTAAACAAAAATATTAATGACTCTTTCTAAAGCTCTAATTAATATATATGAAAAAATATCATTTGTTGAAATGCCATTGGACTTTAAATTATGAAAAATAAGAATAAACTTACTAAAATGGTAGAATATGAAAATAAACAGCTTCATTTTTCAGTGTTCAAACATCATAATAATTTTAAGAGTAGGTACAATATATACCTCACTGAGTCTTATTAGTATTAAAGGTCACTTTGTAGAACCTTTACTATTATTCAAAGTATACTAGTTCATGAGTCTGAAATAAGACTTATCTCTATGACACTACTTTTAGTTAAACAACACAGAGATGCATAATGGGACCAATAGCAGCAAGTAGATACTCAGCACACATAGAATGCCTAACCACACAGGAGTACAAGGGTAGCATTTATCTCAATATAAAATTCAGAAGCAATGATGAAAAAAGATGGAGGGCTAGAACAAAACAAAGCAACAAAGTATAGTAATTAATTATTAACTGATGATATTAGATGGCATCAGTTGACTCTGACTCAAAGATTCAATGTGACAGAGTAGATCTGTCCCACAGAGTTTTAAAGACTGTCTTTTCTGTCATGTAACTAGTGAATAGGTTCAAATCACAGAGTTTTCAGATAGCAGCTATATACATTAAATATATATTCATTTAAATATATGTTTAACTATATATGACAAATATAGAATTAGGAGGAGACAAGAAAACATAGTAAATATAACTAAAATATGCTAGTGAGACACCCTCTTGTTCTTGTTGATTGCCATAGAGTCGAGCACAACTCATAGCGACCCTATGAATAAAAAGCCTGAAGCCTTTCTATAACTATCATCTTTTATCAAAGTTCATAGAGTTTCCAGAGGCAAGTTGTTTAGGAAGTAGATGACATTCTTGGGAGAAATGAGAAGAATTAGAACATTAATATTAAATAAGAACTGAAACTCAGAGTGGATGAAGATGAGGTGACACACACTGGTAATCATAGACCTTACTCATTCACTGGAGCCCCAGTTTCCCCTATAAGGGTAAAATTGAAGAGTTAAGAATCTTTCATATTTAGTAGTTATTTAAATGTTTAAAAAGACAATGAGAATAGAGATGCAAAGAAGAAAGCTGAAAATGTTCATAAAGGCAAAGAAAGCTTCATGAAACTTACACATTTTAGAAAATGTGCAGGCTATTTGAGAACCACCACAGCACAAAGGAAATTGGTGTGACAAAGGAATGAAAAAATGACATTCTTCAATTCAAAAACAATTTAACAAAAAATATTTTACTAAGTTGATGTTGTTATGTGCCATCAAGCCAAACATGACAAATGGCGACCCTATTAACAACAGATCTGAATCCTGTCTTATTATTAGAGGCAAGGATGGTGAAGCTTTAGCTCACATACTTTGGGCATTAATTACCACACTGTTTCAGTAATATCATATTTGCTATTGTCAATTTTATTTAAAAAATACAAATCTTCTAAAGCACTCCAAAACATACAACTTGTAATCAGATCCCTCCAAGAAAAACGATAGTTTATAAAGCAGTCATATAAGAGAAAAGAAAGAAAATGGAGTAATTTTGATTGGTGGTATTGTTTTGTGCCACTGAATAGGAATTGATTTATAGTTGACCCTCCAGGAGGTTGTAAATCAGATAGGAAGAGATTGTCCATCTTTTTCCTATGAAGCAACTGGTGGATTCCAAACACCTGCCTTGGGAATGGCAATACACTTCCTTACCACAAAGTCATGAGAACTCCAATGCTCCAATTTTCTGGAAAAACTCTAATACATCAATTTTCTGGGTATACTCCAATACACCAAAGCCACTACTAAAATTTTCTAGATAGTCGAACAAAATATTACGAGCCAACAGGCATACTAAACAACAAAATAATACTTAAAAATAAATTAGTGTTGTTGTTGTTATGTGCCGTTGAGTCGCTTGCGACTCATAGCCACCCTATGTACAACAGCCCTAAACTCTGCTCTGTCCTGTGCCAATCACACTCTCTCTGACACTCCCACGCCGATTTTTCCAGTCACTGAATCAATCCACCTCATAGAGGGCCTTCCCCTCCTGTGTTGTCCCTCCACACTCCCAAGCATGATGTCCTTCTCCAAGGACCGGTCTCTCCTCACAACATGTCCAAAGTATGTTAGATGGAGCCTCAGAATCCTTGCCTCCAAGGAGCCACCCGGTTTAACCCTTTCCAGGACAAATATTTTTGTTTTCCTAGCAGTCCATGGTACTCTCAATATTCTTCTCCAGCACCACAGCTCAAATGCATCAATTCTCCTTGTATAGTCCTTAGTCACTGTCCAACTCTCTGATGCATAACAAGTGATTGTGAAGACCATGGCCTGTATCAGAAGCACCTTAGTCTCCAGAGAGACATCATTGCTCTTCAGTACTTTGGAGAGGTTCCTAACAGCAGACTTTCCCATGGCAATGCGCCTTTTAATTTCCTGGCTACTGGTGCCAAGAGTGTTGACTGTGGAGCCAAACAAACTAAAGCTGTGAACAATCTCAATCTCTTCCCCATCCATTCTGATGCTGCCAATTGGTCCAGTTCTAGACATTGAGCCTCAATCCATATCGGAGGCTGCAGTCCTTGACCCTCTGCAGCAGGTGCTTAGGGTCCTCCTCAGTTTCAGCAAACAGGCTTGTGTCATCTGCATAATGCAGAATGTTGATAGATCCTCCACCAATCTTGACCCCACATTTCTCCTCATAGAGCCCAGCCTCCTGGATAATCTGTTCTGCATACAGATTGAAAAGGTATGGAAATAAGATGCATCCCTGGCATACGCCCTTCCCAATTTTGAACCATGCAGTGTTCCCTTGCTCTGTTCTGACGACTGCCTCCTGGTCCAAGTATAGGTATCGCATTAGAACGATCAAGTGTTCTGGGATTCTCACTCTTCTCAGAGTCAGCCACAGTTTGTTATGATCCACACAGTCAAGTATAATTTAAAATAGTTGTGAGATAAATACTATTGTTACTTGACTCATAATATCATCTTTCCATGTACTCTAGTCCTGTCTCAATATTGTTTACATTTTACTCTTAATTTACTTCTTACTACCTTTGAACAAAATCCAAATGTGATATAAAGATGGCAGAAAAAGTTACTATGATCACCACATGACCAAATGCCAAGTTTATAGAAAAAATAGTATTTTCAGTGTTGATACTTAAAACAATTATTCTATCAGTAGTACTTAGAAATTCTGCACTATGCTGAAACTAATTTCTTAATAAAGTATCAAAATCTGAAATATCAATTTGATGCTATCAGCTGGAACATATATATAAAATTTCTCTGAACTTTAGTTGTAAAACAAGATACTTACAATTCAGTTCAAAGTTTTCAATCTTGTTTATAAAAATACACCTTGAATTTTGCTGCAAAGTTAATAGTACCTAACAAGAACATATTTGTACCTGTTGTTAATGGCTATCAAATTGAATATGACTCATAGAGACTCTATGAACAATAGAATTGAACCCTGCCCTATGCTATCCTATGTCATCTTCATCATCCGATAAACTAGAGCCCTATGAAACAGGCACTTTGTCAATCCATCTTGTTGGGATACCTATAAACTATAAATTAATAGAGATTTTGTATAGTTGGGTGGCTTAGGGAAAATAGTGTTTGTTATACAAAAGTAGAAAAGACTTTTGCAAATAATTTTTTCATGTATCTTAAGAGCTTTTTTGACTTTGAGAAATATTTAGAACAGAAGGATGATAATCATTAGTAAAAATCATGCCTGAGAAATACTCCAGATGTCCAGGTAAGAAAGTGAGTGGTGTACATTACATAGATCTCCTCTCAGAGTCTGCAGAATTTTGACTTCTGCATAAAATTGTTGACTTGAGCTTTTCTCTGTTTCCAGAGGTTTGATTATGTTTCTCTTCATATAATACCTTGGTCAAGTAGTTCTTTTTAGTTAAGAAAAATCACTAAAGATTTTGCTACTACCACTCTTCTCTATTAGTGATACACATATTTACTAAATTCATTTGGTTAAAATATATGCTCCTACACCTAAAGCCAAAGAAGAAATTAAAAATTTTTACCAAATCTTATAGCCCATGATTGACTGAACTTGCAATCAAGATGTGTTAATCATAACTGATGACTGGAATGAAAAAATTGGAAACAATGAAGAAATAGTAATTAGAAAATATGGTTTTGGTGATGGAAATTAGGCTAGAAACAGAATGACTGAATTTTGTATTTTCATTGCAAATACCTTTTTAAAAAATCGCTGTTGGTGGGAGTGTAAAATGGTGCAACCACTGTGAAAGGCGGCATGACACTTTCTCAAAAAGTTGCAAATAGAGATACCATTTGACCCAGCGATTCTACTACTGGGAATATACCCCAAAGAGACCATAACTGCCATCCAAGCAGATATATGCACACCCATGTTTATTGCAGTTTTTTTTTTTGCAGCTTTGTTCATAATAGCAAGGATTTGGAAACAACCCAAGTGCCCATCAACAAACGAATGGATAGAGAAGCTGTGGTATAGTCACACAATGGAATACTACGCCACATTGAAAAATAAGGAACTCATGCAATATTATTCAAAATGGGTGACCCTGGAGGACATTATGCTGAGTGAAATATCTCAGTCACAAAAGGACAAATACTGCATGGTGCCACTGTTTTAGAATGGGACTGATATCAGGGTTGGGGTAAGACTGAGAAAAACTGGATAAATTATGTATACTGCATTGAAACAGATGAGGGAGAGAATAATTTAAAAGCGATATATGATAGGGTATTATAGTTATCACAAGAGTCCAGAATTAAGGGTGCATAGTGGAGTGTACCTGGGGCTGTGGGAGGGGTGCGGGTGGATTGTATACCAAATAAAGAATTTTTCTTTTGCTTTTTCAAAGAGAGGAGCAAACTGGGGTGGGGTGGCGGTCGGGGGGAGAGCTAGGCAGGGAGGAAAGTGCAACAATGAATGAATAAAAATCCTGTCTCTGCAAACTTTCATTAAAATCAATCTTAAAAAATCACCCCCCCCCAACCCATAAACGGTGACTTTACACATCAACCTCACCTGATGGGCTGCATAAGAACTAGATTGACTACATCTGTGGAAGGAATCATTGGAAAAATAATAAATATCATCCGTCAAAACTAGGACAGGGTCAGACTGTGGGTCAGACCATCAATTACTTATGTGCAAGTTCAAACTGAGGCCAAAGGAAATTAAAACAATCCATGAGAACCAAAATATGATCTTTAATCTAGTCCATCTGAATTTTAAAATCATCTTAAGAATAGGTTTGAAGCATTGAATACCAATGATCAAAGACCAGATGAGTTGTGGGAGAGTATCAAGGATATCATCCATTAAGAGAACAAAAGGTCATTACAAAGACAGTGAAGAAAGAAAAAAAAAACAACAAAACAAACCCAAACACCATAATGGATGTCAGAAGAGACTCTGAAGATTGCACTAGAGCATTGAGAAGCCAAAACAAAGGGATAATTTTCCAAAGTAAATTAGCTGAACAGAAGACAAAGCAAAATGTTATAATGGAATGTGCAGAGAGCTGGAATTGGAGAATAGAAAGAGAAGAACTTTCTCTGCATTTTTTCAAGCTGAGAGAACTAAAAAGCAAATTTAAGCCTCAAGTTATAATATTGAAAGATTCTATAGGCAATATAGCACCAGCAGCTGGGGACATCTCCATAGTACTGAAAATTTTTTTTGCAAATAATTTTAAACATGTATCAAATAATGTCTCTTTTCCCCTTCCATTTTCTTGGTTAAGGACAAGTGGGTTCTAAATTAGTTCTAAAACCTTAACGTGGCTTAAAACTGTAAAAAATTGAACTTCTCATGCATTATGTTTTATAAAATTAATCACCATTGGACCTTACCCATCATTTCCATCTTTTCTCCCAGATCCTTCCCACTTACTTCCCTTTCTCCTTCCATCCACCAGACTGTGCAACCCTGTGTTTTCACCCCTACCTATCCTCACCCCCTCTGCTCCCACTCCTTCCCCTCACTGAGTAAACATACATGTTTTACTAGTTATCCTTCTATTTTTGCAGTAAGTCTTATGCAGTATTTGTCCTTATGAAACTGCATTAGTTCACTCAGCATAATGCTCTCCAGCCCCTCCCAAGTAGTATTTTTCAAAAGCTAGTAAGTGCTGCATAGTATTCCATTGTGTGAATGTACCACAGTTTCTCAATCTATTCAGTTGTGATTAGACATCTGGTCTGTTTCTGTTTCTATGTTCTTGCTATGAACACTGGTGTACAGATCTGTTTTTGTCTCAGTTCTAATTTTGGGGGGGGTATATTCCTAGTAGTGGATTAGCTAGGTCGGTTTCTATGTTCAACTTTTTGAGGAAATGCCAAACTGTATCCCAGAGTGGTTGTACCATTTTACAACCCCAATTACAGTGTCTGAGAGTTCCCACCTCTCAACATCCTCTCCAACATTTATTGCTTGCAGTCCTACTAAACTTTGCCATTGCTACTGGGGTAAGATAGTATCTCATTGTGGTTTTGATTTGCACCTCTCTTATTGCCAGTGACTTTGAGCATTTATTCATGTGTCTGTGGGCCACCTGAATGTCTTCTTCTGTGAAGTCTTTCCATGTTTTTTGCTCATTTTGGAATTGCATTATTAGTCTTTTTCTTCTTGAGGCCCAGGAGTATTCTTTAAACTTTTATTATGAGACCCTTGTCTGTGATGGTATTGCCAACTGTTTGTTCCCAGTCAGCAGGCTTTCTTTTCACCCTGTTGGAAAAAAGTTTTTGATGAGCACAGAGATTTAATCTTTAGAAAGTCTCATTATCAATTTTATGCTCTCCGGATTGTGCATTTCTGGCTGTATTTTGCAGTCTCCTTATATACCATTTGTCTCTTATGACCTTTAGGGTTTTGCACTTTACTCCAAGGTCTCTGATTCACCTTGAGTTGATTTTGGTATGGTGTGAAATGTGGATACTGTTTCAGCTTTCTGCAGTTAGCAGTCCAGTTTAGTCAGTGCCATTTATTGAAGAGGTTGTCATTTCCCCATTTGATAGACTTTCTTTCCTTTCTGGGTTATCAGTTTTGTTCCATTAGTCTATGTACCTGTCATTGTACCAGTACCATGCTGTTTTGGTTACTACCACTGTGTAGTAGCTTCGAGGTCAGGGAGTCCTATGCCGCTCACTTAATTTTTTCCCCCAGAAGTGCTTTGCTTTTTCTGGGTCTCTTTCCTCTCCAAAAAGTTTTATAATTTTCTTTTCGATCTCCTTGAAAAATGAGTATGGTATCTGTATTGGGTTTGCATTGAACATGTAGATTGCTTTTGGTAGGATTGTTATTTTCACAATATTGAGTCTTCCTATCCATGAACAGGGAACATTTTTCCATTTATTTAGGTCTTTTTGCGTCTTGCAGAAATATTCTGTAGTTTTCTTTGTACAGGTCTTTGTGTCTCTTGTTAGGCTCACTCCTAAGTATCTCGATTTGTGGTTGGTTATTACAGATGGTATTGCTTGTGAAATACAATGTGAATGGAGAATATTGTGAAACACAATGTATATAAATTTTGTAAACAAACCAATCAAAAAAAGAAACTGAAGTAACCAAAAGTTACTAAGAAACTGAGGGGGGAGAAAGAAAATGTACAGGAATAAAAATATTAGTAAATAAAAAAAGTAGCCCAAATAGTCATCAACAAATGAATGACTTGAGAAGTTGTGGTACATTCACACCATGGAATACTGTGTAGCACCATGGGCAATAATTTAATAAAATACTATGCAACTTGGGAGAGACTAGTGATCATTTTGCTGAGTGAAATAGTCACATAGGGACAAATATTATATAAGGCCACTCTTTTGAAAATAGGAAGATAACTAAGATATGTATAAATGTTCAAAAAAGGAAAGAGAAGAGGGGACAGAAAAAGGGGAATGGGAAAATCACTAGGATAGCAGAGATGAAGTAACGAGAAAGGTTCAATGGGGGCTTAAAAAGGGTGATAATAGGCATAGAGCAATGGTAATTAATTATATAAAATATAATGATTGTATAAAATACAAAGTACATGTACAAAACACAATGTATATGAATATGTATATTCAAACCAATAAATTTTTTTTAAAGAGAAAAAAAATCTTGACCTTGTGTATGGAGACATGATTATCCTCTTCACTAGAAAGAATTAAAAATGTTTACTAAAAGAAAAATAAGATGATAAGCTGTTGATTTAATTTTAGCACTGTGATTTACAAATAATGTCCATTGTTGTTACATGCATTGAGTCGCCTGTGACTCACAGCAATCCTATGTACAACATCTCTGAAGCCTACTGTCCTGAGCCAGTTTCACTGACTCACACCTACCCCCATTGTCCTAGTTACTGTATCAATCATCTCATCCGGGGTCATCTCCTGTGCTGTCCCTCCACCCTTCCAAGCATGATGTCCTTCCCTAAATACTGGTCCCTCCTGGCCACATGCCCAAAGTATGTGAGATGGAGCTTCAAAATCCTAGCCTCTAAGGAGAAATTTGGTTTTATTCTTTCCAAAACAGACCTGTTTGTTTTCTTGGTGGTCCATGGTATGTTCAGGACTCTTCTCCAGCATCACAAATCAAAGGCATCAATTTTTCTTCCATTATCCTTATTCATTGTCCAGCTCTCTTGCACAGCAAGTAACTGCAAAGACCATGGCCTGGATCAGGTGCATCTCAGCCTCTAGACTAACATCATTGCTTCTCGGTACTCTGGAGAGGTCCCTGACAGCAGACTTTCCCAGCGCAATTTATCTTTTGATTTCCTGACTGCTGGTGCCAAGAGTGTTGACTATGGATGGAGCTGAGCAAACTGCAATTGTTAACTTCATCCTCTTCTCCATCTATCATTGTGCTGCCCAGTGGTGAGAATCTTTGTCTTTGTGAATTGATGTGATATTAAACTTTAATTACAGAAAAATTTTAAGTACTGAAAGAATAAAAGTTTGGTGTGTCCCTCATCTAAACTAAGAAAAATATCCAAATATCAGTGAAGTTTGGAAGCAGGAGTGGCATCCACTTCTGAAATAGCTTGCCTCCAGAAACTCTATGAACAGTGCTCAGGTCTTTCGTTCATAGGATCGCTATGAGTCACATATGACTCAATGGCACCTAACAACAACAACAACATCAATGGAGTGGACACATGATTAATTTATAAACTAAAAATGCTTTTCTTTCTCTGCTAGTGGGGAAGGACTCTGGGTCCTGGTTGGCTCACTGGACGCCTTTTGATGGGAGCCAAGGGGAACCTGAAGTATGGGTGGATCTGTGGCCATGTTTTATCTGATTATTATTATTTTTGAAATGAACACTTTGTTACAGCACTCTTCTGTTATTTCTCTGTATTGAAGTAACTATGGATTGCTGTGATACTGAACGTTGTGCCATTGGTCTGTCAAGTGCATAATGGTTACATATGGTTGACAATATCTGGTTAGCTAACAGATTAAGACAGGCTTGGAAGCAGGAGTGGCATCCACTTCCTAAACATGCCTGTGGAAACTCTATAAACTTAGAGAAAGGACAATACTTATAGAACAAAGTTAAAGTCTTTTGTTTATGGGGTTAGTAATAGATAGTACTTAACAACAACAACAACAACAACAACAATCTATGTTGCAAAGTCCTTGTCTTCCATTGTGGACTTCCATTGGCTGGTTGCTGTATGATGGCACTCTTGTTTTGGTTGAGGGTCTGTGTAGATTGTTTTCTTTCTTTAAGCCTTGTGTTTAGAGTCAATAAGACCTCCAGGAGGACACTTGAATTTCAGGTCAAGGCCTTGTCTCCATTTTGGTAACTGGGTAGACTGACCAGACTCTGTAAGATGGGCTCTCCTGTTTTGGTTAAGGGTCACTGTGGACTGTTTGGGTGTTTGTTTTTTGTTTGTTTGTTTGATGTGTCAAATGTGATAATGGTTACCCATGGTGGACAGTATTTGGTGGAGCTCCCCAAATAAAACAAGTTTGGAAGGAGTGACACCCACTTCCAGAACAGCTTGCCTCTGGAAACCCTATGAACTTTGAGAAAAGATGGAAGCTATATAAGTGTCCAGGTCTTTTGTTCATTTAACAACAACAACAACAGCATAGAGAGATCAGTTGGCCTAGTGACTCTAGTCTGTGGCCCTCAGGCCTGTTTCTAATTGTTTTTGGTCAAACATTCTTCTAGGTCGCGTAGCCCTTGTCAGAGGTAACTCGTAGTTGCTGTGATGCTGAACACTGTGACAATGACGTGTCAAATGTGAGAATGGCTACCCATGGTGGACAGTGTTTGGTGGAGATTCCCTATTAAAACAAGCTTGGAAGTAGGAGTGGCATCCACTTCCAAAACAGCTTACCTCTGGAAACCCTATGAACCTGGAGAAAGGAAGAAAGTTATACAAGTGTCCAGGTTTTTCATTCATAGGGTCGCTATGAGTTGCCTATGACTCGACGGCACTTAACAACAACAACAACAACAACAACAACAACCACCACCAAAGTACTTTTGTCTAAACTTGTTTTTCTTTTCTCCTTAATAATATCCAAACATTTAATATCACAAAAAGACATGTTAGATTTTTTGTGTGTGTGAATAAACCACTATATCTTCTATGGATGTACCTTCTCAGTTTGCTCCATTTCCCAAATAAAAATACCAGAAATTCAAAAGGGTGTTAGAAGCGGTTTTCATGGGAGTCTTGGCATCAATTAGAACATCTTAAATCTCCATAAAGTGCCTGAGTGTATATATTGTAAAATGAGAAAGAGGAAATATAGGTAAAATAAATGAAGGATAGTGGAGTTAGAAAATATGCCAAACACGAAAAGAATTATTTAGGAAATAAAAGTGATGGACAAAAACGGGATTGCTGGACTGAAAAAAAGAAGAAAGCATTTTTCCAAAGATAAAGCTAAGGAGGCAGATAGGAGTAGGAAAGATTAATGGAAGTGATAATCATGGAGAAAAACTGAGAACAGTCTGATTAGAATTAATGACATAAAATAAAATATGTGTAAATGGTTAAATGGAACATCAGTTTGCTCTATAAACTTTTATTCAATTCACAATAAAAAAAAATTTAAAAACCAGCAGGAAGGTTCTTGGTTTTAGGTGCAATGAATATTTAAGATAATAAATTTAGCTTTAATACAGTAATATTTCATATCTGACACTTATTATAATTTTGCCATAAAATGACATATTAACAGTAAACACATTCAAAGGGATGCTTACAAACTTCATTAATATTAAAATCTATGCAGAATTGTTTTCATTAAAAATATTATATTCTGTTAACCAAGGCATACTATATTTTATATTATGCAAAGAAACGATATTTACAAGTCTTTAGGGGTTTAAATATCTTATAGATTAACATAAATAATAATCTAGCAAAGTGCAGGAAAACTAGTGCTAGTATTTGTTCTTTAAAAGTAGATTAGAGCAAAAACATTTCTAAAAGCTACCAAAAGCTTATTTAAACATATCCAGTAAATGATTATAAAGTGTAAGTAGCCTAGAAAATGACACATAGTTAAAAACAGTATGAAAACTACAAGGCAGGAGCATGCTAGAACAAATTTTGGGTTTTTTAATACATCAGCAATGATGTTTTATCATTAGTGGTAACTACATATGTGTGCATATTTATTTAAAAATTAAAAGTGCAAAACATAACCCTCATTTAACATGAAAAAGATGTGTAAATTTTCTTCTTAAACCAACACAAAAATGCAGGGAGAATATTCTATCTTTATACAGAATAATTTGAAAAAGAACAAAACAAAAAGAGATCATCTTCATTCCAAAAATCACCTACAAGGCACTAAGGGTAGGAGATGACAGCTAATACAGGAGTGACTGAACATAATTCCTCAGTCAGGTCGGAATATGGGATATTTTGGTAAGAATTCTATTAGTATTACCTGTAAAATAAAAACAAAGACATATTAATAAAATTACATTCATTTAATTTAATTTATATATAGCCTAGAATGTCTACAATCATTTCTCATAGGACTACACTTGGATCCAGAGCTATTAAGTAAATGAGATATATGAAATAATTATATGAAGAACTTACCACAACTTATTTTTAGATTTGAAATGAAATTAAATTGGTAAATACAACCACTAACTATAACTAATAGCTTTTATGGCCTGATTTACAAGAAGGCCAGAAGGTCTTATTATGTTAACAGAAAGGGTGTGATGCTCAGGTATAGATTGGAGGATGGAGAGGCAAAACATAACCTTCAACAAAGGACATAAACTTGAAGAGAAAGTCTTCCTCAAACTTGTCCTTCTAGGTTAACAGGATACAGAACTCCAGTCTGATAAGGAGGTTAGGAAGCTGCCAAGCTAACCTTAAAAGTGGCATCTCTCTAGTAGTTCAAACCTACCAGTGGGTTCATGGGAGAAAGATAGTCTCCTACTCTCAATTCATTGTAATTGTGTCAGAACCAACTCATAGCTGACCCTCTATGTGGCTTTTGGAAGGCTGTAAATTACATAGGGATGGAATAACAATTGCCATGTTACAGAAAAAAAGATGATGCCCTGGATGTGCTCACAGCCATGCTGTGCTAAGAAATCTGGAAGACAGTAACCTGGTCAACTGACTGGAAGAGATCCATATTTGTTCTCATTCCCAAAAAAGGTGATGAAATAGAATGTGGAAACTATTGAACAATATCATTAATATCATATGCAAGAAAAATTCTGCTGAAGATTTTTTTAAATGGCTAGAATAGTACATTAACAAAGAACTACCAGAAATTCAAGCTGAATTTAGAAGAGATCATGGCCCAAGGTATATATACCACTGCTGATTTTGGAGGGATCTTGGCTGAAAACAGATAATATTAGAAGGCCATCTATCTGTGTTTTATTGACTAAGTAAAGACATTTGGCTGTGTGGATTATAACAAATTATAGCTAACCTTGAGAAGAATGAGAATTCCAGAACATTTAATTGTGCTCTTGTGAAAGCTATACCTAGACCAAGAGTCCGAACAAAGCAAGTAAACATTCTAAGATTTAAAGGAAAGATGTGCATCAGGGCTGAATCCTCTCTCCAAATCTATTCAATCTGTATGCTGAGTAAATTATTTAAAAAGCTGGATTCTATGAAGAATGCTGCATCAGAATAGAAAGAAGACTCATTAACAACCTGGTTAGGCAGATGACACAACCTTGCTTACTGAAAGTGAGGAGGACTGTAAACACCTGCTGCAGACTATGGCCTTCAATAAGGATTACATCTTAACATCAAGAAAACAAAGATCCTCACCACTAGGAGAATAGGCAACATCATGAAAGATGGAGAATGGAGGGAGCTCTGGTGGCCTAGTGGCAAGACGCTGCATGGCAATCCCAGAGGTATGTGGCTCAAATACACCATATGCTCTGCAATCTCCTCCTGTACCAGTCAGATCTGATTTGACAGTACATGTAAAAATAATACAATTAAAAAAAAAGATGGAGAATGGACTGAGGTTGTCAAAATTTTCATCTTACTTATTATCCTTGGTACTAAGAGTCAAGAAATCAAAAGATGTGTTGCACTGGAGAAATCTGCTGCCAAGGATGTTTCCAATGTGCTAAAGAGTAATAATGTAAATTTAAAGACTAAGGTGCATCTCTTCCAAGCTATGGGTCAAATACTTCCTACACATCTGAAAGTTGGACAACAAGTAAGAATGGCAGAAGAAGAAGTGATGCTTTTGAGTTGTGGTGTTCAAGAAGAGTACTGAGTATCCTATGGCCTGTCAAAAGAACAAACAAATATGTCTCATAGAAGGTGCAACGAGGATGTTGCTTACAGGAAAAGATGAGGAAAGTTTTTATCACATACTTTGAGTATATTGTCAGGAGGGGCAAAATCAATCATGCTGCAAAAGTTGGAGGGTTAGAAAAAGAGAAAGACTCTCAACAAGGTAGACTGACACAGAGACTGTAACAATGAGCTGGTGCATAGACGAGATTGACGATGTCAATTACTTCATCTTATTTAACACTCATGGTAACAGCAGTTAAGAATTTTTTTTTTAAAGTGTTGCATTGGGAAAATCTGCTGTCAAGGATCTCTCTCCAAAGTGCTAAAGATAAATGATGTCAATTTAAAGACTAAGGTATGCTTAATCCAGGCCATAGTATTTTCAAGTGTTTTTTATGCATCTGAAAGTTAGACAATTAGAAAGGACGAGAAAAGAAGAAACAATGCCTTTTAACTGTGATGTTAGAAAATAGTATAGAAATATCCCATGGACTGCCAAAAGAACAAACAAAAATGTCTTGCAGAAAGTGTAACCAGGGTTTTCCTTGCAGGCAAGAATGGTGAAAATTCAGCTCATATATTTTGAGCATGTTATTAGGAGGGGCAAGATTTTGTTTTAGTGTTTTATCCATTGTAGATTTTAGATTTATGGTCATTTGTACTTTTATCCTAAAACTATTCAAAGGAGAGAGACCTCATTGTGAGATCCCAAGGCCACTTGGGAGATTACCCCTTGACCTTTGGGTCAGCAGTATAGCACATTTATGAGCTAGGCCACAAGAGCTCCTTCAAAGAAGAGAGAAATATCACAAAAATCTTTATAAGATGCAAACAGAATGCTATATTATTAAATATATATTACCATATGAATACAGGCTATGGTCTTTGCAATCACTTGTTATGCATCAGAGAGCTGGAAAATGACTAGGGAGGTTAGGAGAATTGATGCAGGCCATGGTCTTCGCAATCACTTGTTATGCATCAGAGAGCTGGACAATGACTAGGGAGGTTAGAAGGAGAATTGATGCCTTTGAGCTGTGGTACTGGAGATAAGTATTCAATGTACCATGGACTACTAAGAAAACAAACAAATTCATCCTGGAGAGGATTAAACCAGGCTGGTTCTTGGAGGCAAGGATTCTGAGGCTTCGTCTGACATACTTTGGACATGCTGTAAGGAGGGAGAGGTCCTTGGAGAGAGATATCATGCTTGGGAGCGTGGAGGGACAGCGCAGGAGGGGACGATCCTCTATGTGGTGGATTGATTCAGTGACTGGGGTAATCGGGATGGGTGTGTCAGAGGTAGTGTGACTGGCACAAGACAGAGCAGGGTTTAGGGCTGTTGTATATAGGGTCGCTATGAGTTGCAAGCGACTCGACAGCACATAACAACAACATTACCATATCAGCAACCTGCGCATGGATTAATATACTTTTAAATATTAATGATGCTGACTTTATCACACTAAATATATGTGAATCTATGTTTTAGGACTAACACTGTGTAATATTCTTTAATAAAAATGAGAACCCATAGCTAATTCACTCAAAGTAATGACCAGAGAAGGACAAAAAGAGGCAGTGTGAAAGGAATGCAGAAATCAAAGGTCAATTCATACTTTACGCATGTCTATACAAAATTTTGTTTGAAATATTTTGTTTAGCAGTGGCTAGTCTCATCACTGTATGCTAAAGTCCGCATCTGTTTTAAAAGGAGACTAGGGTATTGTAATGCTTATAATTGAAGTATATTAGTTGATATTTTTCTAAGATTTAACATATTGCTAGCTTTCAAGATATTTTATGTTGGCAACAAATTTAAAGAAGGCAAATTTTTAGGTTCTAACATATAGGACTTAATATAAATAAACTTAACATAAATAACATACAGGAAAAAAGGTAGAAAAAATCTTACAAATGACAAAGAAAAGGAAGTATCATATTCAGGATGAAATCTAAATAATATAATGAAACAGTTTCATACTTACATACTCCATCATATTGTTAGTTTCACATTTCCTTTTAGTCAACTTCCAGTGCAAAGCAAGCTAAAAAAATTAAAATTAGGAATTTTTTATATCATGTTATTTTAATTACAATATCTCATTCTAACAATCACTGAAAACAATAAGGAACAAATATAAAACATAACACTTAAATCTTTGTAAAGAATATATATTTTAAAAGTATTATGTCTCTAAACCATTCCTATATTGGCCTTAAACATTTCAACTTATCACTAATTAAAAATAAAAATATATAAATAGGATACTTGTTTGCTTCATCTTTCTTACCTTGTGATATAATCTGTTATTTTCCCATTCTAATAACTTCTGAATTGATCTTCTGCTCTGAGAGAAAGAATTTGTTACAGATCAGTTGATGTAAATTGTGTGCATATATATTTTTCTGATTATTCATAATATATCATATCATATCATATCATATCATATCATATCATATCATATCGTTTTCCACAGAAATTAGGAAAAAAGCAATATAGAGAAAAAGAGAATACCCCAAAGAGACAAGATAATTACTACTATATGCACATAACCCTCACAGGATTTATCAGCATAAATTTTAACTATTGGTTTGCAGAACTCAAATCACAGAGTGGAAGACTCTCAGCAATGGATTGACATAGTGAGGATGGTACAGAATAGGACAAGATTCAGATGTTTATAGGGTTTATAGGGTTGCTATGAGTCATAGTCTACTTGATGGCACCTAACAACAACAATAATAATTTATAAGGCAGGAAACCAAGACTTAGCAAAGTTACTCACCCTGAACCAGCAACTGTTGCTAACACGTTCGAACCAGGCACTATCATTCCAGAATCCATCCTCCAAACTACTCTCTGAAGTAGAGACTTCAGAGACCATGTGACTGTGATTGTAATCACCAGGCTGCACTGCATCTGTGTTGTGATTTTTTAATTTTTTAAATTTATTGTGATTTGAATGAAAATTTACAGAAAAGATTAGGTTTTTATTCAATTACACATACACTTTTTCTTTATAACATTAATCATAAAACCCACAATGTAATCATATTTCCCCACTTCTTCCCTATAATTCTCATTTCTGTAACCTTTCTTCCTATCCCTTCCTACCTTCAGGGCTTTATCATTGGATAAATGCTGCTCTTTTTACCATGTATGGTTAGCTATTTTAAGAAGTAGATGCCTAACTGGTGTTACTGGTCTCTTGTTTTAGGGGACACTCTGGTGATGCAGTCTTTATCTGGTTGTGCAATCCAAAGGCGGAGCACATCTTTCAGTTTAAATACACTAGCAGCTCCACGGGAGAAAGTTGAGTAGTCTCCTCTTGTTATGATGGATGGTAGCTATGAGTCAGAACCAACTCAAGGGCAGTCAGCTGAATTGTTATTAAAGATTTGTCTGTTGTTTGGCTCAAAGCTGAGCCACAAGGGTGAGTTTTGTTCTATGGATCATAGTCTCTGGGGTTCCATAAGTTGCTATTGGTTCAGTGAGACTGGAATTTGTTATCTGTTTTAATTTTGTTCTATATTTCTCCCTACTCAGTCCAGAATCTTTGACTGTAAGCCCTTTTAGAGTATTCAGTGGTGGTAGACAGGTACCATCTAGTTATTCTGGTCTCAAGGTTGCACATCCTTCCTTGATGTCTTTGAGTTTGGAAACTGATTATGGCAAAACTTGGTGTCTTTCTTTTGTCTGTACTTTTTGGAGTTCATGGAGATTCTTGAATTCCTATTTCTTCATTTTTAATAATATCTGGTAGATTTCTTCCAGCAAATTTCCAACAATTTCCTGATAGGGTTGGTATGTTTTTTAAAAATTGTTTGTTTCTGTTCTTGAATTCCAGTCACATCTATGTTATTTCTCTTGATGGTACCTGTCAAAAAAAAGAGCAAATGGTACATGGGGGCACAGGGCTGTGAAATGTCTCTCTGAAAGGGCCAGAGGGAGTAAGACTAGTACAATCCTCACTGCCCCAGAGCAGAAAGCAGATAAAGAGCCTATAATCCAGCCCCATGGTGCCTCTAGAGCCACACCAATGGTAAGAGGTATATTTATTTGTTGTTGACACACAGACTCACAGTTGTGGTACTGAAAATGGGATTTATTAGGGAATTAAGTTGGAGAGTGGGAGAGGCAAATAATATAACCCAAAACAAGTCCAGGATTTAGCCCAAGTTCCAATCCCTCAATTAGTCCAGACTGTGGTTTCAGTTCAGCAGTTAAATCTAAATCACCCAGTAAGGTTTGCCTCAGAGCAGTTATAAGTCGCTTCTTCTTTTAGCATCTGCCAAGAACTACAAAAACTTTAACTGTGGCCAGCACAAATGAAAGAAGCCTTGGGCCACACTTTGCCACAGTTTCTCCACAGCAATGCCACAATCTCTCTGCCACCATCACCAGGGTCTCTCTCTTACCAGAGTCTTGTTCCAGTTTCCCTCAAGTCTTGCTGTAACAAATCTTGCTCCCCAGTGTGGGAAACAATCCTTCTCTTATCCTAGTACCACAGGTGTTGATGATTTGCAAGACCATGCTGATGTGCAAGACCAAGTGTCTTCAGTTAAGGTAGCTTGTGACTAGAAAGGACTAACTGCAATGGCTTAAAAAAAGCCATTTTTCAGGCTAACAAGACAGTGCCATATATAATTCTTTTGCTTTATTCTCCTTCCTTCTTTTTTAGAATTATTCTACAAACAGATTTATACTGCATTTCACTAATTCTGTGTTCTATTGATTAAATTATCTTTTGTTACTTCATATGTTTTTTTAATTCTGAAATATAGTCATAACACTCTGAATTTTAATTAGCTGTTTTGTATGGCCTCTAATTTTACATTTCATTTTTCAATTTGGTCTCGTACTATGTGGTTTGAATTGAAAAAAAATCTTCTGGAGTTTTATCTGTTTTCCTTTATCTTCTGTGGCATTAATTTAAAAGTTGGCTGTTCGGGTTTTTTGTTTGTTTTTTTTTTTTAGCCATTAGTTAGTCCCTTTGGTCTCCAGCTACCTTATCTGCTGACACGTGGTCTTGCAAATCAGCATGGTCTTGCTAATCATCAACAACTGAAGCAGCAATATAGAGAGCACAATCCACACTAGAGGGTGTGTGAAAACACTAATACAGGAGCGGCAGTGTGACTGTGGTTAAGCTTACTGCATCGAGCCTGGCCCGTTGCTCATCATTTTCTACAAAACACCCAGCATGCATACCTACAGTCATGTGAGCCATTCCACTGAGGGTGTCTGAGTCCCTGGAGGACCTTCTAGAAAATCTTCAAACTCATAGGACATACAGGAATGGGGGAACAGAGCCACAGATGGAGATGTTAAAAGAAAGTATGGACCTA